ATATACAATATTCTTCGTGTTAAATCAAATTAATTAATACTTCAGGTATTTTTAAATTTGTGTGAAAGATTAAATCAAAATTATTTTATTAACAAATATTGATTCAGTTGATAAAAAATTTAGTTTAATAATATTATAAGTTTATCTTCGTTATCAATGACTTTGAGATTTATATTGATTATGTTCTCCAATTCAGTTAGCTTTTTCAAAACAAAAATTATTTTACTCAAAATGAAAAATTAATAAATAAAAAATTAAAATATATATTTATATCAAACGGGTGATTTGAGATGATAGGGAATATATTTTTAAAATTGTTTTTATTAATTTTTCATTTTGAGTAAAATAATTTTTGTTTAAAAATATTAACTAATTTGGGCTTAAAAACTCACATAATTAAGATAAGCCTCAAAATCATTAATAGCGAAGATAAATTTATAATTTTTTTGAACTAACTCCGTATCAACTGAGTGAATATTTGTTAATAAGATAATGTTCAATAATTTACAGTAAAAATATGTTGCTTTCTTTTTTTTTAGCTGGTGTTTTTTTAAATAGTTTCCACCAATTTATTTCAAGTTAAATATAGAGACCTTAAAGTGAAGTGAATATTTTGCGCTATTAAAATACACAAACGCAAGATGGAGATATATATTCATTCTAATTTGTTATGTTTTTGTAAAAAATATGGAATGAAAGACTCTATATTTATACAAATTTTAGATTAATTTGAACCTTTAGAAACAAAATCCTTTCATCATAGCATATTTCGGATATGAATATTCGATCACGCCCTATTTTTTACAAAATTATGATTTTTACGAAAACGCACATCCATAAAATTCTCTGTTTTGTTTTTCTTTAATATTAAAATGGGATGTGTTTGGAGATGCATATCCAAACTCATACATAACCACTATATATGCAGGGTAAAATTTTGAAACATAAAAAGTTTTTAAAGATTACCCCTAAATTCTATAACATTAAAGTATAATTGACAATACGTATGTCTCAAATTGTATCGAAATTACATCATTGATAACATTACATACAAAAAACGAGTTAGATTGTTACATATAAAAAATTAAAATGTATTAAAACATGTGTGACTACCTAAATCTATATCTATTGGTGTTTCTTCTTTAACCTTTCCTTATTTGATTCTTTTTCAATGCCGCTCAACTTGGCAAACTCTTCCATCCTTTCTAGAAAGTGATTCAGCCAAGTTTCAGCACCTTTCTTTATGATGTCATCAACTTTCGAAAATCTCTCTTGGATTACTTCCCATTAGGTCATAATAGTTATTCTTGATTTTTCACCCTTCATCACACCATCATCATCAAACCTTTTCCAGTGAGTATAAACTTCATCTATACATATCGGTTTATAAAGTTTCACCTTCTTTGAAATTAAACAAGCACATGAAATACCGTACATCTTTCTAAGTGTACAATCACACTTTTAGCTATTTAGACCTGTTTTATCTGTTCATTTGGCTTTGTGAAAAATAAAATTCAATTTCGCACGAATTATGTTGTCAATCAACTATTAATAAATGATGTTGTCTTTGAATCGGTGTTCTAACACAATAATATTCTGACTAAAAGATGTGGGTATCTCATTATGTTGGTTTCGGAGCATTTGGTTCAGGACATCCCAATCTTAACCAAAATCACCTTTATTGTTTCCCAAGCAAATCTTTACTACAACATGTGCAAATTCAATTGTATTAGTTGATGTATTGCCAAAGTGTCTAACCTGATCGTTCCAGTCACAAACAATCTTCTCATTCACTCAGTACAAAATAGTATTCTCGACATATTCTAAGAAATCTAGATATCTCATACACACACTCCTGAAATGTATTACATATTCGGTATATAACTCTTTCGTGGAAGAATTTATTATATCATTCCATGCATCCATTATCTTTTTCAACACCAAACAAGGTTTGACCATTTTTCTGCTCTACCCTTGATTTGTTTGGTGCCTACCGCATGTTTTAGTCGACTTCTCACATTTTTGGTTATGTGATAGTTACAAAGTAATGCATACGATGTAGGAAACTGTTGCAACCTAATTCATCAGTGCATTGTCACGATTGGGACAATTATGTTTGGCATGTTTTCATGGTCCTGCAACATAGTCTTGCACATTTACAAAGCCTATGTAACATTGTCATCCTTTTATGGATTCCTAAAATGCAAAACTGGCTGAAAAAAATCATCTTCATAGAAGTAACACCAATAATTTTCAAGAGTGGAAGCTTATACTTGTTTGATTTGTATGTTGAATCAATTATGATCGCAGTGGAGAATGTGATGAACAACTTGATAAAATAGGGATGAATCTAAAATATATCTCGAACTATGACTTTATCCTCACAAACTCTGTACCTGGAAATATATTTGCCATCTTCCAAAAGCTTCAATGGCTGTTCCATTTTCAGATCTCTGACCTCTTACCACCTTGTTATTTCGGGCATACATATTGTATACTTGTTTGATATTTGAAACAATTTGAGGTCTTTTCAGTTTCAAAGTCGCAAGTATGGTTTTTGGCACCTCCATGTTCAATGTCATTTTTGAAACAAGTTCTTTCCCCTTTGAAATAAGGTGATTTACAATGGGATGATTGTTAGCTTGTCACTCAAGGAATGATTATGTATACCAAAAATCATATTAAAATTTCATGTATCATTCACCTTACAGTATTTGCGCAATTCAAATGGACACTTACCTTTTTTCCGATCTGGTGTCATCACGTTTTAACTTCCTAATCAGTGGTTGGTATGTGCCACTTCTTTCACATATCATTGTTAAAAATGCTTGTTCTATCAGAACCATTTCCAAACCTTTTGATTACAATGCCAAATCTCAATTTCTCAACCTCCATGCGGACCAATTATATGATATATTCACAAACAATAAACTCTTGCTTGTTTGTAAATTATTTACTAACATCTACCTCGACAACAACCGGTCTAGCATTCTGTTTTACATCATCCAGTTTAACATCATCCTTCACTTCGTTTGGTTTAATATCTATTCTTATAGTAGCTTTGAGAAACATATTCGGATGCACCATATCTAATACAAACAATAACATAAAATTAAAAACTCAAAGTATCATAAATATCTGAAGATGGATCTCCAGAACAAATGAAACTGAGTCCAAAGATGCATATTCAGACTCAACGTTTATTTTTTCAATTTAAAAACTACATTAATGCAAGGAATTAGGGATAGAGTGAATGAACGTTACCTTAAATTCTAACTTCTTTTAGTTCCTGTGATGTGATAACATGCAAGAATAATGTTTTAGTGTTAAAAAATTGATTGAGAATGAAAGAAATATTTTTAAGGGTTTTAAGATTGAAGCTCCCTTTGATCATGAGGAATAAGAACATGCAATGTGATGTTTTATCCAATTTTCCACTTGACATTTTTGGATACGCATCTCCAAAATTGTCACTTAATTGTTAAATAAACAAGCCCAATGAATACCAATCCAGTAAATAAAAACGCTGTAAATGAGTACAAGGAGTGTTACATATACATCTTCATATACACCTCAAATAATATTAGTAGATTCATCTCCGAACCAGATTATGACAAATACATAATGTGTGGCTGAATTACAAGAGTTTGTGTAATTTTTAAGTGCATTTCAAAATGCATCTCTAGACATAATAATATTATATTTTTCCGAGATTTTCAAAGATTTGAGTTTTCAGAGATGTGGAGTGAGTGAGATACACTTTATGAGGAGGGATGAGTATTTCTCTTAAATTGTAGTTCCAAAGTGGCTCTTATGAAACAGTACATCTCCATTAGACCATTTACAATGGTAGATTTATTTAAAGTCAACACCACAAAATCATGTGCAATGGGTGTGTAATGTAGTGTTGAGTGTGTGTTGGAGGAGAGAGATGTTGAGAAAACTCAACACCATTTAATCTGTCACGTGGCTGTATTTGATTGGCTGACCAGATTTTTATCCATTTAATACTTTGAACTCAATTATTTCGTTGCAAATTAATTTTTTTTTTTTTTTACCAAAATTCATGATTTTTTTCTCTCTATAAATAGAGACTTGGTTCATTTGATTTGGACACAGAAAAAAAAACTAAGTTTTTCACTATCTTAATTTTATTATTAGTGTTTATTTTGAAGTTAAGTGTCTTTTTTTAGTGAAATGGATCCCAATAATCATTTTAACACTCAAAATTCTGCTAATTTTCCATTTAACCAAAATCCCAACAATTTTCCAAATCCCAACAATTATCAAAATCCCAACTATTATCAAAATCCAAATCAATAATTGTAATTTAATTTTAATCGATAATTGTAATTTTATGTAATCATAAAAATAAAAATAAAATTTAAATAAGAATATGAAAATAAAAAGTGGTGGGGTAGGGTGTTGAGTGAAAAACCATTGGAGAGGGTAAAAGTTGAATGGGTGTTGAGTTATTAGGTGGAAGAAAGAGAAAATGATGTGGAGTGTTGGGAGTTGAAAAAATGGGTGTTGAGTTTGTAAACCATTGTAAATGGTCTTAAGCTGAAAATTGTATTTTCAGCTTTGGCCTGGCCCAATTCTTTGCGAATTCCTTTTCTTTCTGTGAATATATGTTATTTGCTTCTGTTAATGCTAGTTAGTGTCACTCAAGCAAAACCTGAATTTTTTTACCAGAAAATATATACATTGTTCTCTAGCTTCATAGGATCCTTGATCTTATTACCAAGTTAATCATTCAATGAATTATTTAGGCCTGCAAAAACCTCTAATACAACTATTCAATCAAGATAAATGTTAACTAACTGTGGCTATAACATTGTTGACAAATGAAAAAGGGCAAGAAACTGAAGCATCTACTATTATATCAATCTGAAATGAATCTTTCAAAACTTCAGTAGAAAACCTTGTGCAAACAACATGTGATGAAACGTTCGTTCACATAAGCCAAAAGTTTCGATTGTGAATGAAATTGGTCAAGCTTAGACAGCAAATTGTGGTTCGGGTGCAGAAGCATCAGCATACACAGGGTGGAGGACATGACCATCTTTAGGCTCAACATGCACCCACTTGCGACCAGTCAGTTTGTTGCGTTCAAACTTTACTGTTCCCTCTTTCAAAGCAAAAAGAGTGTGATCTTTCCCCAGTCCAACATAGTTTCCTGGATGAAAACGAGTACCACGTTGTCTGACAATGATGTTTCCGGGAATTACCCTCTGCATAAGAAAAAAGTCTCTTCATGAATGAATGGACATAAACTTGAAGCGTGTCATAAACCTGAAGCATAAAACTCATACCTCTCCACCATACTTCTTCACTCCAAGGTTCTTAGGTTTTGAATCGCGACCGTTTTTTGTGGACCCAGCTGTCTTTTTGGTAGCCCAACGGCAGAACATTAAACTCAACCCCTCTCCAGAAACATCTAAAATAGTGAGTCAAGAAGTCATTTCATTTGTCTAGCTTTCTATTGAAAGCAATGATTGAAATAGCTGCCAATATACGATTCCAAAAGTATAACATACCGGCAGTGCTTCTGTACACAGGAACATTTGTCACGAGTTCCTTGATATTCAATCTTCTGCACAACGATGATGCAAAATTCATGCTGTTTTTCTATGTGATGATGACACTACCTGAAACATACATAATGGTATGACAGCATTAGAAAGGGAAAAAAATCAAATACTGAGAAAGCAAATCAATGATGCTCTTCCATACAACACAAGGAAGCAATTGTTGTCATACACATACTAGGTCATTGACATGTGATTGTTTTCACAAATCAAAGCAATCAACACAAAGAAAGGGATTCAATTACAGTATATTATATAATCTTCAATCATATATAGGATTCAATAAATTGATATTTTTGACTATAGGTAAAATGCATGTGATAATTAATCACTTTAACATATATTGGTCCTTGTAGATGAACTAGTAGATCATGTAATGGACCATCTTAAAATTAGTTTTAGGATAAAGCAAAGACAAGCCTTTGTCTCATAGTTAAAGTGTATAGCTATAGTTTTATAAAAGCAATTTCACAACTTTGTTCTAGCGCAATGAGGACAAAAATACAAAAACATAATTTAATTTGTATGAAGTAATTTGAGGAAAAATAACATCATCCGTGGAAAGAGCTGCAACTGATGCAATGTTGATAGCCTCTTCCCCATTATTTTAGAATTAGTATTGGCTTCCATGTTTCTTATATTTCTCTCAATTTTTGCATACATTTTTCAGCTTTTGTTTCTAACTCTATTCTTCTCTGAACACTACATATATCAAGTTAAAACCTTTTTAACAGTATATGATTATTTGTAGCCTAACACAACTATACAACTGATCAAGTATAGAAGCCATGTTATTATAAGTTCTTTTCATTCTTAACCCGTTTTCTTTTACTCACTATTTATCAACAAAAAAAGAAAAGCTTTCATTCACTATCTACTTATTATTATCGCCTTAACGTAGTCTCGGCTCAGCCATGGCTAAAGACAAACAAAAGCTTCATGTACCAATGTTCTCATGGCTGTCATCTGCTCACACAATCCTATATCTTGATCAAGCCCAACTCATAACCAGTGTTATCAAATAGCAGCGCCATGGCCGCTGTGGCGGTTTTTGGGCTCGCCGCAATGATAAATGTCGCCAAAAGTTGCGGGTCCTTCCACCATAATCCGCTATAACAGCGCCACTAAGCGGCTGATATGGCGGGATTTTGGCTCTCCGCCATGGACCTCCATCGACAATACTACTCATAACAAGAAGGGTCGCCCATTGAGCTATATATCCACCAAGAAAACCAAAATCTCATCACACTTCCATTTCCTAGAGTGACAAACCTCTCAAAGTATCTTCTCAACAATTTTATCTCCTCCTACCTACAATATGCAAAGCACTAACTATACAATCCTAATTCCAACCACATTTTTTTGCAGAAAACTGGTAAAATTGCATATCAATAAAGATTGTGGCTGAGCCACGGGTACAAACATTTCAGAAACAAATGAAATTTTGGGAGAGGGGTGGGATGAATTGCTTATAGAGCATACTGAACACCTAAATATATCGCACAGAGTTATTGAAACAACCAAAACACAAAATACAGAACCAATATGACTGCTGAGATTCTCTTGGCAAGCTCATTGTTGGCTGCTGCAACATAATTTACATACAAAGTAGAACATATACAATCCTAATTTATCAACGAATAACTTTTTATGACGGAATTTATCTAAAAAATTGGGGAAATTTGAAGTCAGAGTAACAGTTGAATGATTAAGGAGTTAAAACTAAATATGATGCCTAAATTTCACTAAAAAGAGTTCAATTCAGATTTGGGATGAAATCTAGGTAGTTAGTAGAAATCGCGGTAGTGCGGAATGGGGAGCCGCTGGCCGCTACAGTGATGCCAGGTGCGTTGCGAAACACTGTCGCGTCTGCTTAGATGCATTTCACGAGAACAACACGGCGGCGCATGTAGCGGCCGTCGTAGAGTTTCACGGCCGCTACAATGAAGATTTTTTGAAAAAGTAAAACAAAATTATGAACAAAAACATGCCTGTGGAATTCCAGTAGAAGGAAGAGGGATTGTGAAGAAGAAATGGAAAATCACAGTTCCAACCGGTGGCGTGCTTGAATTCCAATGGCGGTTGTTAGGTTTAACGAAGAGAGTAACTCAAACTTTGCAATGAATTACAGTGGCAGCTTCCACCAATTAAAAAATGACACGTGTACGCCAATTATTATGCTTTTACTTTAATATATGCACAAATCACAATTAACCGTAATTTTATCAGATTTTGAATTATGTTTTAATTTTTATTTTAACTATGTCTAAAGTAATAATTATCGATTGATTATGTAAAAATATTTACATGGTTGATGCATTAGAACCATTTCATATATAAATTATTTTATGATGACTAAAATAAAAGTTATTAATAAAAGTTTAATGGTCATCATTAAAAAATTTTATATCGTGATACATATTAAATTAATTTTTTTATATTTGCACATTTACCTCATACTCAATTAAGGCTTAATTTATTTTTTAGTCATTTAATTTAATTTAATATTTTATTTTAATCCTTTAATTAAAAAAAGTTACATATTAGTCTTTTAAATATGAGTCTATCAATTTAATTGGTCATTTCCGTTAAATTTTCTATAAAAACATTAAGCATTACCTACATGACAATTTAGTTGGATTTATTTTTATCAATGTGATTTTTTTTACTATTATATTCTTATATCATTCCTCTCTTTTCTCTCCTCCCTATATTATTCCCGCTTCATGTAGCATCAGTCTCATTTTTTTAAAATCTTTTTAGATGCATAAGGGGTGGCTTCGGGTAGCATCAATTCCATTTCTTTCAGATATGTTTAGATGCATATATGGCGGCTGCGACGATAACTCCAACACTGAACCTCACGCGCTTAGTAGGTCCTCCTCTCGGTGAAGTGGAAGTTGTTTACAAATCTCGTTGGGAAAATTCACTCTCTTGTCGCTGGTAATTTCTCTATCATTAGCAATTCAAATTAAATATATAATTAAATTATTTTGTAACTTAATTTATTTTGTTTTGTTGAATTTTTCAACAGAATATGAATACATTATTTTGTTTGTTTTGATTTGTTGAATTTTTGGCAGTTGTTTTGTTGAATACGTTGTTTTGTTTTATTTTCATGCGGAATATGATGTTATCAGTGTTTGATTTCTATATTGACAATTTTATTGATCTTCAACTTGGATTCATTTCTTGAATCCAGGTTTGCAGGAACAACTATGTATGTGGCCATAGAACCTTTATTGAGAACAACTAATGATGAGAATAACTAGTGTTAAATAAGAGTTTTTCATGAGTTCTTAGATATGAATTCTAATCCCAGGTATTATGGTGACACATTTTTGTAACTTATTAATGGTATTATTTGTAAAATGTATTATTTTAATTGAAGTTCATCTTATGCACATTTATATGTTCATTCCAATTCTTGTTTTTGGATGGATCTGCACATGTAATGGAGCAGGCAAGGTTCTATGAAGCTTGTGAAGATTTCAGAATTGATTTTAAATTTTTTTGCCAAGGAGTATCTTTAATTCAAAAGATTTTAGAATTGATTTGCCAAGGAGTAGGTTGAAGAAGCGTCGTCATATTTGTAGTTGAAAGGGGTCATCATATTTGTAGTTGAAAGGGGTTGAAATTTTTTTTTAAAAAGGGGTTGAAGAAATTTACTAGAGAAATTTATAGGAAATTTTGCAGTCAGGGAGAACTTTGGGTTATTGGTTTAATGTAATTAGATTTAAGATTATGTTGATATCAAAGATTTTATTAATCTAAAATGCTATGAAATTGTTAATAATGCAATGTAATTGTAGTTTGATTAACTTTACTGATTTGGTCCCTTAAAAATTTATAAGGTTTAAATTTGATCATTTTGCTGAGTCATTACACAGTTGGCACGCCACACTGGAAAAAAACTAACGTTTTCTCAACTAAACTAACGGAAGGGACCAACATTGCTAACAAAACTAATATTACGGGACCAAGTTGTAACAATTTTTTATTAAAGAACTAAAGCAGGACTTAAAATTAACTTATGGGACCCGAGGACTAATTATGTCTTCAATTAATGTGTAAAAAATCATGATCGGGACATGGTGCTCCAAGAATGTTGGAGAACATTGTTGACCTAAACAATCTTCTTCTTCCTCCCTCGCACAATGACTATCATCCATCCAAAAGAGTTATTCCCAAAAACCAATGTTCCATACACCAAGCAAATGAACCATCCAAAGCCACATGAAACCTCCAAAAATAAAATAAAGGTTGAATCTTTTGTGGAAGCGGTATCAAATATGTGCAACATTCTTCTAAGCCAGTTACTAGTTCCATGTATGAAGGGAGAATGTCTTACCATTGTCATCTCAGAATTAGAATACAAGTTAGGTCTTAAAGCTTATAAATACAATCTCCAAGGGAGAATCTTATGGCTTAATGGTTTCATACCTCTAGCTATTCTTAACGTACGTGTAATTCTATTCCTCAGGGGACAGATGTCGAACGAGTTGTCCTAGACAACTGATTTGATAAGATAAATCAAAATCACCATAATTAGCACATATTCAATAATACAAGATGATAGAGTAAAAAAGAAATAAAGAACACAATCATCGGTAACCCAATTCGATGCAACAACACCTACGTTTGGAGGATTGACTTCCAACCCAAGAAAGAAAATTCACTATTAGTAGTCTAGTAAAATTAGTCTTATATGAACCAACAAACCATATGTTGTTCAATGTCTCTTCCTAAGACTACCAAATGAATTTCTATTTAGGACTCCTTCTAAATATTATATTCTCTCTCACTTTCTCTCAATCATTAAACCCTAGTGATCAACTTCAACTCACAAGGTTAGATGTTGATTTACAACTCTACTAGACAACCTATAGCCATGTCAAGTTACTGAAACATTGTGTGGTGTACATACAACAATAACAAGGACTCAAATAAACCATAGCACTCTAATATCTTTAGTGTATTGTTTGCTTTCTAATGTAGGTTTTAAGCTCCTTATATAGCAAAAGTATTATG